TTCATCAACGTGGAACTTTTCAAAATTGGTCATTTTCTCAGTAACAATCTCAAATGATTGAGAGAGAATTTAAAAAGAAATCAAAGAATCAAACTTCAGAATTTTAACTTGCATCTGAACAAATCATTCCAATCAAACCTCGGATGCCAATTTATACATCACTGAACAAAATCCCAAGATGACTACTCCAAAACAAACGACTTACAACCCCAACCCACCAAACTATCAAACTTGGCAAAACTAGCATTCACAAGAGTCAGCATCATCAAACTACCTACATACTACATTCATTGAAGGAGTCCAATTGATCATCAACTCAATAAAACAATCCACCGTGAGAACTTCAGCACAAGCTTTCTATTCTCTATCATCATTACAAGATTCAATTGACAAATCAAAGACAGAATTACAATCAGAAACTATAGAATCTAAAGCAAATCCAAATTCAAAAACCAATTTAGAAACAACAATTAAACCTAAATTGAAAACTATTTATGATCATTTAGAAACAATCTCATTCTCAGCTGGAGTAATGCCATCAACTTATTGCGCAACCTTGAGAGTCTTAATCAAATTAAATCAAAAATTTAGATTTCAATCATGATGAAAGTATCAATACATGGCATGTTTGGGTTCTTCAGCAGTGCCAGAGCGCACTTTCTCAGCAGCTGCTGATGTATTTTCAGCCAGCCCAGGCCATCCTGCTCCAATCACTATTGAACAATTTGTGTCCACACACATGTGGTTGATGGAGATGGTACCTTTGGGGAACAAATTCAGCAAGGTTCCCGAGTTTGTCAGGGTGAATGATTCTTCATAAATATAAACTTCACATGGTTTCTTTTTTTATTTTTGGTTTGTATTGTCATTACATAGTCAATTATGAATTTATGATGGATAATGGTATAAATGGTGTTTTGTGATTCTCAAAAAAAATAACCCCAATAGCGAGCTACAGTAGAGGTAGTGTAGCTCTAAACGCAGCGCATCAGTTTTGGGATAGCACTTCTGAATCACGTGAGTTACGCTATCTTGGATAGCGTAACTCTAAGTGGCACGTTAGCCATCCAGAAAATTTCCCAATAACTGTTAGAGCTATGCAGAACGCAACTGGTCAGATTGCGCTGCATTGCGCTGCTGTCTTGCTGTTGGCTGTGGTGAGCAGGATCTCTACTTAAGCAAAGAATTTAAAAATTATTCAGAAATTTGTGTTTTTGGTCAAAGTCAAATGTAGTATTGAATTTGTTAGTCATCAATTGTCTCATAGTTGATTTATAATCAGCAATTCATTATCTTTTTAATCATACATTTATTACATCATTTGATAAGAACATTTAGAAGAAGAGAAAATTTTGAAAAGATCTATAAAAATAGTATAAGAGTGAAAATAAAATTAAAAGAATTAGTAAAGAAAGAATTGATGGAGAAGAACATTTAGTTTGGGTCTCAAAGAATGAAACAAGAAGGATAACATTAGCAAAGTTGAAGGAAAATTCAATAATATGGGTATTAAGTGTTGTAAAACGGTTTTTAAGTTATTATTATGAAAGTTATTGGTTCAGGAAGGTTTTACTGTGAAAGGGAACTATAATATTAACTATCAGCAGCTTTAATCATGGAGATTGATAACGGAGGCATGAAATTATTCAAGAAAGAGGGTATTTTGAAAAAAGGGTACTATGGTATTAATTCCTGTGTAGTGATGTCATTGAAGGATTGATGGCACCAAGAGTTTTTCAGATTGACTTTATAGCTATATGGATGATTGGGATGACGTAGGATGATCTTTTGATAGAGGAGAAATCATTATTAGACGTGAAAATGGTTGAATTTCATCAAAAATGGAGGTTTTCAAATAATTACATATGTCTTATCAGAATTGGGTGTGTGATGGAACATTCGGCGCAGAATCATCCGTTTCATAATGTACAGCCTTTAAACCACTAGTAACAGAGGATTAGTGACAAAGTTATAAGGAAACAAAAAAAAAGGAGTGAATTTTGAATTTACAGTCACAAGCCTACATGTAACACCAAAAACCTTAACTTCACAACTCAATAACTTATTCATCACACATCCGAAATAGGTAATATGGGGGTGATAAATGATCAGTATCACGAGGGCTACAAGATGCACTTTAGTAATTAAAAATTGGACCTCATCTAAAAAAATTTGTAATCTCAAAATTTGGTTTTCAGCTAATTTACAAGGAAAAAATCACCTGTATTCATCATAAGAAGAGCTGTACATCATATTATTGTGTCATTGATCACTTTTGGCTGTGAAAATTACATCATATATTAGTAACAAGATCATTACATTACATCATTATAGGGTTTTTAGGGATTTTTGGGCAGATTTGATTGGTTTTGAGGCTGTTGACCATTCTAAAAGTTGTAGAACATTGTTATATATACTTTGAGATGATTTTGGGACTATTGTTCCCCTTCTTTCTTTATCATTTACACAGTTATTATTTTGTTTATCATCATAAACTTATTTTAATAGTATCTGGTCACTTAAATACGCCCTTTATTACAGCTATAAAGAGAAATTGATTTTAGTATTGTAGTAAAAAAGATTTATCAAGAATAATATCACAAAGATATTGCTTATTTTCTGTTGGAATTATGGTCGTTCTTTTTGCTTTCAAAGTCTTTTCATCTTTTTAGTACAATCAAATATTGTAATTACATTGTAATGATCTTTGATCTTTTCCTCTTTAATGAAGATTGTTACGTGATTTACGTCATCATTTGTTTATTTTGATTTTTGTCTCTTGTGTTTGCTATATAAACTGATCCCAAATCTCAGTTAGATGTCTTTCTTCTTCATCTGACTATTTCTCTAAAACACACCTTATCATAAGATTCATAGTGTTGATTGTTCTCAGACTTACTCTAAGATCTGTTTTGTTTTTGTTTGGAATCAGTCCAACATTTTCTTTAGTTATCATCTGGGAATAACACTATAGCAGTGTTGATAGTAATAAAAATTGTGCTTTTGAGATAAAATTTGTGTGATACATTTCTCTGGTGCCTTATCAGTACTCAATAAAACAGTGTCCTTTCCTGATTGTGTTGTTTTAGAAGATCAGTCTCAGACAACTTCTACTAGTCATTATATTAGTAGATTATCCTCTTCCAGCTTTGTATAACCCTTGTTGGGTTATCAGTTCTACAACGGTATTTGAGCGTGGATCATGGTTTGACATATAAAAAGACCAACCGCGGACAGGGAAATGATGGCAGTGCTGTTACGGGCAACAAAAAAGAACAAAGAGGAACAAGAATTAGTTACAAACAAACAGCCAATAATGATCCGTCAACTTTATCAGTTATTCAAAGAAACTTACAGAAAATCAGAAGGATTTAACCTGGTAGGAGCTGTCACAATCATCGTGTTCTGGGGAATGGCAAGATTTGAAGATATTTTGAGGAGTAAACCAGAACAAGGAGCACTATTAAGAAGGCACATCGAATTTGGGGTGAAAGACGGGAAACACTTTGCAAAGCTACAATTGAGAAAGGCAAAAACAGCCAAACCTGACAAAATCCAAACAATCCATCTCCAGCAATTAATTCAACGTACTGGACCCTGTCAACGCTCTGGAACAAATACTCATGGCAAATAGAAACACAGATAGAGACAATATCATTTTTGGGATTTCTGGCCGTAAAGGAGTGAAACCTATGACAAAACCAAGATTTATAAAATTAGCTGGAGATACGTGGGGAAAATCAGGTCTAGATACTTGGTCAGGGCATTCCTTCAGGGTAGGAGGAGCATCAATATGATATAATATAGGAACACCAATGAAGACCATCACAAAACAGGGAAGGTGGACTTCAATGACTTACTTGAGATACCTAAAGGTGTATTCAGAGGAGGATAAAGCAGACATCATAAACTTCCTGAGGATCGTGGATGAAAGAATTATATGAGACAACACATATACCTATTGAATTGAGCAAAACACCTCATGCAGCAAGAAAACAATCCAATTGAGTTGACACAAACCTTATTTCACTGAGTTGGTCTGAGCTTTGTTGTGATGGGTGAGCTTGGGTGGCTAGGCAACGAGCAAGACCCGGGGCTGCCTAGTGATGGGGACCAGAGCTAACCATTGGACAAATCAAAGACTTGTGAAATTAGGAGGGTGAGGCTGGCCGGGCGGCTGGTTCACAAGAACCAACCCAAAGGCAGGCCCCGCCACTCCCCCAACACAGTCTCTCTGACACCATGTAAGAGAGATCTAGTGGGTGAGGATTCTTTTAGTCTGGAAGACTAAAAAACCAATAGAAGACAACTCACTCAACAGTTCCGTAGCTAACTGAGGAGTGGGTTGAAAGAACCACAAGGCATGCAGTGGCTCTTAAGCCCACAGTGCCTTATTGGAGGTGAAGGCGTGCAGTCACACGTGCACAAATCTTTGTGCCAACTGAGTTAGGAATTTGGAAGGTGCAAACACTACAACAAATGACATCTTTACCCAGGGGTATAGAAAAGTAGTGTGGGCATAGAAAACTATTGGTAGGGTACTTTTCTATACCAATAAAAAATGCTTTTGATAAACCTATGTAAGATATTTCAGATTGAGAAATTGAGTATTATCTTTGCCCTGACTCAGCTGTATGTATTGGGACCCAAAGGCAGTGCTACAGTGCGCAGAATCTCAATTTTCTGTTTTTTGATATTTTTATCCTAAAATACAATTCTATGGTGATAAAAGAGATCCTCAACCATGTTCAGCAATGTATGTGAGTATGTATGCACAATCTTACACAGATTGACAGACACTTTTTACATATGTACCACCCACTTTGGCAAAAAAAGTTGCATTAATAATTTAATGCAACTTTTACATCACGGTGAAAAAATTTCTCACCGTGTATGTATATGTAAAACCACACAACAGTGTGCTTGTTAGAAAGGTTTG